TTAAGATGAGACAGAATTAATTTTTCTGTATTCTTTGGTTTTGTTTTTTGCAAAAACTACACTAATGTAATATTTTGAAATATCTCTGACACCTTTAATACATTTCGAGCGATTTGTAAAAACGTCTTCATTTGAGACTGCACGTGCTTGAAATGACTTCATATTAAGTTGTTCGAAAACTCAATAGTTATCTGCATGTGAAAATAGCTCCAAGTTTCGCATTCACAGTAACGCTTAAACACAATTGTCTTAAAAACAGGTAAATTTCTCAATGAAAAGTTCCATATAGGACGAGGTTTTACTCTTCTTTAATACTCTTAAAGTAACAATTCTATTCTACCATTAGGAAATCAAAAAATTGAAGAAAGTTTTAAAAATTGTTCTTTGGGCGGCGATAAATGGCAGCTGGTAACAGAATGTCGCAAGTACGAATAGCTAACCGAGACCAAAGGAAATAGAAAACTAATACGGGAAAGTCTGTGCCATTCTGTAAGACCACTAGTTTGTTTTGTTTCATTCCAAGTTTTAAATAAGTATTCTATTTTTTTGTTGCTCTGGTTCAATGCACCTCTCGAACCAGTGTCACGACGATGCTGAATGGATAAATATGTAATTTTTGTGTAGCATTCGCAATGTCAAGTTTCCATGAGGCTAGCCTGATTACTAGTTTGTTTTATATATTTTGTATTATTCTGCTTTCCAATTTCTTCATTGTTATTTCCAAAGAACACTTTTCTTAGAGATCTAGTTGGAGTAATATTTATGTTAGTGCTCTCAAAACTACCTTACTATTTTTTTTCATTTTGTCAGTGACTTCTTCTTCCTCTCTCGCTCTCTGTCTTTCCCTTCATTTCCTGTCGCGTGTGACTTTTATATATGGCATGCGATAAACATTGCGAATGATTTTCCATTTTTGTCGTGGAGAAACAACACACCAACAGACAACTTCCCGTGGTGTTTCTGTTGGACAGACTCCCGTAAAGTCCTTATGGTAGAAAAACAAAGGTTTCCAGTGATAGTTGTGTGACATGAATTCTAAAAGCAGAGAACCCGTGTCCGAAAACACGGTGGCCCTGTTCTTTTCGGTTCACTTCTGCCCACGAACTTGTTTTGGTGTTGGAGACCCTACGTGCTTCTATTGCATGGACAATTCATGAGTAAAAGTTATCTTGATTTTCTCTAAAAAGTCCAAATTCTCTTTGCAAGATTGCTGGCGAAATGCTTTCTGCTCGAGAGTCAACATTGATGACACCCAGCGGGAACTGACCTCCGATCATCAGACCCGGCGGATAATGTGGGTAGCTATACCCACACGAACAATTCCTAGTGGATACCCACTCGGGATTTGGGGTGAGAAATATTCCATAAGCATAAAATTTCAGAAATGAACGAAATTTCTAGGTATTGCGTTGACTCAAAAAGTATAGGCGATCAAGATCGGCTCAACACTATTGCGATTTTTCATGCTTGTAGCACCATGACCGACAAAATCTATTTGCAAAATTGGGTAAGTGAGTTCATACACAGCCGACTTTAGTGCAGTTGGCCGTAGTTTATTTCGACAAATGCAAAGTGCAGCGCTGTTTTTGAATTGCAAAAACAAACTGCTGGAGTTACGTAATAGTGTATGTATCTAGGGCGTTAAGGAGATGTTTTTGTCCAGAGGGTGACTTCCAAGGGTTGAAAGCCGCATGGTGGGCAAAAACATCTAGTAACGCGCATGGTGCAAACAAAAATTTATGGTTTACTAGTTCGTTGCTGAATCAAACGAGAATTCGAAACATTTTATACCTTTTCTAACGTCTAAAGTGAAAGGACGCATTGTAATCGTCATTTGTCAATATGACGGCAGGTAAACCAAAAATTGTATGGTTATCTAATTAATACTGCATACTCGTTGTTGGACTGATTTGTTCGTACAAAATGAAAGAATATTGTGAAGTTGCTGCGGAAATTCTCGCAGAAGCTAACATAGCTACGGACAGTGGTTTCCAGTAAAATCTCTAGAAATATGTATGCAAAAATGATTATGGCGTTTTTGAAAGTTATATGGAATATAAGTGTGAATAACGCTGAAAAATGGTATTTTGTGGTTTTTGCATTTATCGCCAAGTCATTTAGAATATTTCATAACTTCAAAATATAGTATTTCGAGGATGTTAGCCGATATGCCTTCCACATCGTATTACTATTAGTAGTTCTGCTTGTCAAGAAGCACTTATATCTCTAAAGAAAAGGAGATGCATAACAGTGAAATATGAGTGACTGATTATTATTATTATTATTATTATTATTATTATTATTATTATTATTATTATTATTATCATCATTATCATCATCATCATCAGCCTGGTTTAATCCCAGTAAGGACAAGCATACAGCATTGGTGGTTGGCTTATTACTAATTCTTATAAGAATTGTATACAATTATTGTAATTTGGTTTATACTATTCTCTAGTCACTTTTAGCTACTCTGTCTCTTTCTTAACACTGTACACGTCTTACCATTTTTTATTTCTTCCTCTTCCTAACTCACATAACACTTTTAACAATTCCTAACACTTTCTTAACACTGGTAATAAACTCACATGGACTGGGCCGTCTTTTTACTCAGCATTGGATCTCGATGTTTTTATCACTCTGCACCTCTTTAGTTCTTTCTTACCATATTGATTTAGTCTTACTCTACACCTTTCTGATCCACTGTCTTACGAGTAAGTTCTTTCCACACTTCTTTCATGCTCCTCTTTTCCGCGCCTTACTAAGTCCTTACTTGAAGGTATCGCCTTTTCTTGGTTGTTGCCTTTCTGGATCACGTCTTCAAACTTAGGGTTCGTTTACAGTAGTGATATGATTGCGCGATATGATCGCCCTCCGCGATTCGAAGTGGTCCAGGTGGGTCTGTCGCGAACTGCACGGGTCCAGGTGTTGCCTGTATCTTTCTTGAATTCGTCTGCCCATCTCAGTCTTTGTCTTGATCTCTTTCTTGGAGGTATTATTGAGGTGAATGCCCATCTTTCTGGGTCAAGTCGGGCTACGTACCCGACCGCTCCAAATTTTTACTTAAAATTTTCTACACTTATGTAATAAGGCACGGTGAAAAAATATGGTGCAGCCTCATTTTCGGGTATTGCTCAGTTTTTCGAAAATTGCAAAAAATAATTTTTAAAACTACAAAATAGAGGCTTTTGCCTCAAAGTCTGTTGTACAAAATAATCTCTTGTAAAGGTCATGTACAATTTTTTGTAAAAGTTAGTAGTTTTTGCGTAATTTCTGTTTGAAATTTATTAAGCATTATGGGCGTACCGTCATACATAACGATAACATTGTAATATGCGGGAAAGTATGTACTGTTGTATGTGTTATTTTTTTATTCTCTCACACCCTTAATTTGCACATTTCCAGTGATTTGTATAAATGATTGGCATTTATGAGTGGAAGGGCTTCAAATGATTTCCACAGCCATTTTTTTCGTAAACTCAAAAGTTTTCTGTGCAATAGAGATTCAAATTTCGCATTTTTAGTAATGTTTAAACACTTCCTCAAAAACGGCTCCAAATTTTTCAATAAAAATTTTCATATACAACAAAGTGATACCCTTTTATAACAGACTTAAAGTCATGTTTTACTGCTATTATTAGGGAAAGGAAAAATTGAGAAAATGTGAAAAAATGAAGTTTGGGTGGCAATACACGGCAGCTGGGAAGAGGATGGGAAGGACAGAATACTAGCCGATCAAAACAATTAGAAAACAAAGTAGTATTAGAAAGTCTGCGCCATTCAATGGCACCACTAGTTTAATTATTGACTACTTAGTCAATGAAACTTTTTTTACCCCATGTTAATGTTGAACGGTGTTAATGCTATGGAACACTATATAACTATCATAGTTGTGTTATAGCGTCATTAGCAATCATTAATAATAATAATCTTAGTATTGAATATACTCAAAATATTTGCAGAGAATGTGTCCCCACCACTAAAGGCACCCGTAGCCCCATCCTTTGAGCCTTTACATATAAGGAAATTTAGCGAAGTAGTTATTTTGAAGACATTTTCGCATCAAAATTATTAAGCAAATGAAAGCACAAATTATGTTGAGAATCAGCTTTAGTTTAGAATTACATTAGTCCATTTTCCCTTCAATGAACTGAAAACTTCAATTTTGTTTGGAAAATAAATTGTGAACCCTTAGGAGAATAATTGTCCATAACTTTTTTATTTATATTTGACATATTTTACTAGGAAATAAATGAAACAAATGTGCACTTGATTTTTCAAATCCAATTACACATTGCCATTTGGTTAATCGAGCATTCATTCTCCAAATTGTCATTAGGGGGGGGGGGGTGATCAGAAATTAATATTAAGGAAATAAAATATTTTATAATGTAGAACTTGGGAACTCTTTCAAACTTTTCAGAGGGCCAAGCCCCCCTCCCCCTGTGCACATCCTGCTTTGGATTGCTGCAAATCATAGAATAATACTACCTTAGGTTGGAAGTATAAGGGGTACTCAGATTAACCAGTGAGTCCAGATTCCAATTTTACAATTTATGTATGATTATTAATCATGCATGCCTGGGTGCTAACTGGCAATTTTGTCCAGGAGGAAACGGTCAATCATTTTCAGTCAGGGGACTTCACTCAACGAACTGAAATTATTGCTCACGCAGTACAGTCTTTATAAATCTTACAAATGCTCAAGATGAATAGTTTAATTTTCCAGATTTAATATTCCGAAAGTGGAAATCATAAATGAAACAGATACGGATTAATTATGTCACTTCATACTTTTCCAGCTGGGAACAATCCCCATTGATTTGCACCCTGGTTCTGACCAGATATGCAACTCAACAAACTGAACCCATCTATTCTAAAGTAAGAGGATTTTGAATTTTTATGAGGCCAATTATGAGGAATTTTTATGCATAACGCCTTCCTGGAAACCAATGAAAACTGGAACTTTTGGTGTATCTGACTCTTCTGTCCTCATTTTAGAAAGAGTGTAGGTAACAATAGTTGTCAATATAAGTTTCAGAATATTTTTATTTCAGTAGGCTTTCTTAGATAAATTAATAATTCTTTGTTACAAAAAAGTCCCTGATTGTAGTTTTGGACACAAATATTGAAAAAAGGAATGTGATCAAAAGTGCTGATTCAGCACTTTAATACTTTAATACACTCAATTTAAGTTACTCTAATAATCAGTACAGTGAAGTACTGAAGTACAATGGAATAATTCATGATGAGACACATCGATAATACTGGTACTGTGACAATTTCACACATTTTTTTGGTTTAATAACTAATTAAAAATACATTTTTCTTCCAGTCAATACATTATAAACAAAAACTCTTTCACACACTTGTGTCAGTCTCTATTCAACTTAGAGAAGCTTTGCTTATTTTATAGAAGAATTATTTTTGTTTGAAGTAACTTCACAGTTAGTACATTTCCTGTGTTTATTAAAAAGTAGCCAGATCACCAAAATTACATTCTACATGCTATCAGTTGCCACAGCACTGCTCACATGCAGCTTTTCTAGCATTTTTGTCTCATACAAAAGTCTGAGGCATAACTGAAAATTATGATTTTTCAATACCAAGAAAGTTATTTTATTTTATGAGACACTATTTGCAAGTCATTGTATTCAACAATGAATTTTAAGAACTCTAAGATTCATCTTAGTTTTAATCGAAGTACATGTGTACTTAAATCAATTTACATCTAGTGGTTAGAAAAACCTTCAAGCAGCCAAAGTTGATGTGCATTTTGTTTCTTATGAACACTTCTGCGAAATTAATGTTTGTACTTTGAAAAACAAGTGCGACTCTTTCAAAACTTTAATTGAGATTCTCAATGCTCGGTAGCTGTCCACCTTGTTATATACTTTCTTCTGTATATGTTTACCTTCAAATTTGTACATTTTTTTTTAATATCAAGGAAATAGTAATAGCTGTGCAAAAATAAAATTCCCAAACAATAAGAGTCAATTCAGAAAAAATTCAATTGTTGGCAGTCTGGCCACCTTTTATATGAAGCACAAAGTATAAAATAAACTGCTCCAAGAGTTTATATGCATGTTCTTTCATTTGGTCATTTTCAGGCATAAGTATCAGAAACAATATTTCTCTACCAAAATATTTTCACCTGTACTACAGATTTCACAGTATCAATGGCAATTGAACCTGCAGGAAACCTAATGAATTAAAAATTTTCTTTGTATCTAGAATTGAAGTACTACAGGTTTTGTTAATGTCCTTATTTGAAATGATCAAATCAGACATGATATTCAGCCCATGGCCATCATTTCCATTCTCTATTTTGAACAATATTCAATAATACTACAGCAAATGCTGATGGACCCTTGTTATTTAAGGACAAAGTAGTTCATTTTTTGGCAAGGATTTAAATAGTTCCTCTGTTTACATCTGCATTCATGTGATTCCAAAGAGGAACACTACCCAGTAAGGAACAAGATCCACATTTCCAGAAACAACTGTAAATCACTCATGTGAGATGTACATGTGGGATCAATTCTTTGAAATAAATTTGTTACCCTTACACTAAACTAATTTAACAGTTCCTCGGATGGCTAATGGATCGTAAGCTAGCTTTCTATGGCACAATCGCAGGTTCAATTCCAAGTCAGGGCAAAAATAGAGCTGTTGCTTTCCATTACAGTCGTCTCAGTTTCTACACCTGTGTGATGAAAGCTGAGGCATGCTAAGTATGCTAGATGTGGTGAAGGGAATATGTCATGATCACCACATGTCCCCCTTTACCCCAGGCGTGGATAATAAATAAAAACAGGGCCCCAAGCCTGGGAACACCACCAGATGGCAAGAGTCGGATTAATATGACCCTAAAATGCCAAATACATACATACAATTCCGACCACTAATGTGATTCTTAACAACTTCAAAACAATTTTGATATTACAAAAACAATTTATAAAATTCTGTTTGTTTAACAATTGAAGTAGATTATCCTTTTGTGCACAAAATCAAGTAACTTAATTTTCTGAGAAAAATCATTATTTTCTTATAATTACACAATACTTTCCACCACCTGTTGTTACATTACATTTACACACGTTTTTAGCACTGATGTATGTTCAACTATATAATAATAACATTATTATTTTATTTTTTTGAAGTCTGATTATTTTGTAAACAGTTTAAAAACTGCAATTTAATTTCAAATAACCTTCCAGCTTTTATACATTAACTAAAATTTATTATAAACAAGATGGAACAATAAAAATCCTACTAAACCATACAACCTGGTGTAAAAGTGAATTGTGAGAATCAACACTTGTAATATATTTCAGTAGCTAATGTCTTACCAAAAACATTTTCAAATGTATTCTATATACCGTTAAATGTTATGTGCCAAGATGAATACTCTGTTATAGGAAACAATTTTTCAACGTACAATTATGAAACTACAATATGATGAATATACAATCAATGAAACTAAGCACTAACAAAATTATCACAATGCTCAGCAATTGGAATGCCAAAAATCTGCAGATGCAGATTGGAATGTTAATGAAATGAACAATACTGATGCATGCACAGATATTTATTTTTGCATTGAAATACTCCCAACAAATATCATGGGCATCACTAGCACCAAATTATGCAGGAGGGGGTGTGTGTGTGACAATTCAAGAGACAAAGATCTCATAACCCCTCCAATCTATAAAAAACATTTGAGTGGGTTGCTTCCCCCTACCCTCCATACTGTCTAGTGGTGATGCACATGCAAAACATGAAGTGGCCTAATAAAACCTGATCAATTATAATTAAGTTGTCACCAATTATGGAAAGTCAAGGACGGCGGAATACTTGTTCCGCTCAGTAACTGATATCCATGTGGTGACCTCGTACTATGCAACTGTATTAAATAAGTAAATTGCTACCAGCTTAAATTGTTCTGACCAGGAATCAAATGTAGTCTTCTGTTTTACAAACAGCAACTATCAAATACATGCACAATGTACAGACCCAAGAACATATACCAAGATGTCATTTCTTGAAGTCAGTGGTCAGAACAAAAAGGCATAAACCAAGACACCCAAGATTTTGATCCTTGGCCAAAGAAACTTGTACTTAGAACAATTTACTCACTTAAACCATTTGTACTCCTAAATTACTGTAAATGCAATTACAATACAATTGCAATTACAATAAAAGGTCTCTTTCAACAACAAAATAAATCTTAATAAAAAATCAACAACTTAAAGCTGCATTCATTCAATTTAGAGTAGAGCTTTTCCATTTTAATGTGATGTAAAATTATTTACAAAATGGTGGTGAGGTACCCTTTAATTTCACTTTCTTTATATCCACTTTATTTGCTCTTCCATTTGAGTCTGGTCATTGTTTCGTACACCATCCACCTCCATGTACGGCATCATACCAGCATAAGGTCGATGGGAATGAATGGAGCTCAAACATGGGAAATATTGCCGATAGCATAAATATGAGATGGACAAACCCAGTAGAGATCCACACAACACATCTGTAAAAAAAAGATCAAGTTGTCAGTGGAGATATGAAATAGAACTTTGATCAGATCCAAATTATACTGAAAATATTTGCTGTACATACTTATTATTATCATAAAAACATCTAATTTTTGCACAGATGTCAGAAAATATGATTGTACAAAGAAAAAACTAACCCTCTCAAGGACATTACAATACTTTCTCTACACCACATAGGAGTATAAAAAAAAGTAAAAATATTGTTTGTGGACTAGGCCAAATTAAAATTGCCTTACCTTTTTAAAGGCTATTGAAATCAAACAAACCATATTTAGACCATATTTAAACCATATTTATCCATATTTAGAACAATAAAAATTGCATGGCTGGACACTTGCCAGAGGAGATTTGCTTTACACTTTTTTAATTTATATATAATGCTCAGAAACAGTTAATAACATTTTTTATGGAAATTAAAAGCTGAGGGACATAGAATTAATTATTCCCCATAATGAAACAGCAAAATTTTGCATTGTTTTATCAAACATATAAATGGCTTTCATGTTAGAATGCATGATTCTTCATTCAAGATCTCTTTTTCAACATGGGAAACAAGCTCTCCATTCACAATGAGGAACTGTAGATATTGTATATGTTATTATTAACAAAATACAACACGAAATGTCAAATCCATAGAGAAAGAATCCCCAAAACACAGTTTGGTAGCAGTTAATAGATCGAGGAACATTAGTATTTTATGTAACTATGATGTCATGATAGGTATTAATAAATGAACACGATGTGATATTACAATATAAGCAAGTATCATAAACTTCATTCAAGAGTATTAATTTTAATTTCTAGAGATTCTTACAGGATTTTTTGTATGACTAATGTTAACAAGTATTATAAGTTAAACTTTTACTTTGAATGGCGACATGGCAGCATTATTTAGTATATGACATGCAGTGCTGAGCCAATGCCACAAGTCATCTAGCTGTCCCAAGTGGCACTGGTAAGGCATATGCACAGTGATGTCAAATGAGCAGTACACGTGTCAAGTTAAGATTCAATTTATTAGAGGAATGTCATCAATATTCAGCATCTGTTTTTTCCCTCTTATCAGCTTACCAACTGAGAGAGTTTTAATACGGACCTTCAGCAATCTAATTTTCTTGAGTTTTAGAAACAGTGTTATTTACTGTCACTTGTACACAGGTTGTCTCATCTCCGTAGACACCTTTACTGAACCTTACATGAAGCAGTATAAAGATCACTACAATCTAATAAGAGAATTATACTATGGGAAAAGAAAAAGAAACTTACAAGCACCTTTTAATTTCTTATTTTTAATGTTCCGAGATAACAGTAGATGGAACAATCACATATGTATCATGTAGGTAACATCAAGACATACCTTGCCAATGATGATGGTAATCACAGGTTCTACTGAGTGCAACTGCTAAACCTATGACAAGTGGCAGCAGGAAAATACACAAACGCCATGACTGTCCTCTTCCACCAGCATTAAATACATGCAACTTGCCAGCCAGATAAAAGGCAATGAAACCCATACTTGTGAACGCAACTGAAATATGAATAAAGTATATTCATGTTAGATTTATTTTTAATAAAGCACTTTTATAAGAACATAATTACTGATAAAGTGAAAAATATAAGCAAAACAAACTCAAGAGACTCTTACACATCAATAAGACAAGAATGTCAACAGTGCAAAAACTTATCTGTCTTTTAATTTTTACTTGCTTGCCTTACTATGTACTTTCACAATAAGGAAAGTATATGGTACGAATATGGGGGGTACACAATGTACAAGCCTCAACTTTTTCAAATTTTCTCCAATTTGGATCCAAACTTTTTGAATGAACAGTACAAAGGATGCATAAAGAATAGTGCAGGTATAATTTTCGTTGAAATCTCTGAATTTTTGAAAATTGCTGCAGTTTAAAAAAAATTGAATGTTTTCCTTAGTACAATATTACAATTTTACAATTTTAAAGAGTAACTTTTTTCTTAATGAAATCTGTCATTCAAAGACATCTTAAAATAAAGCCATTCACAATTTTGGGAGAGAAAAAAGAAGAAAGAAATAGCATCTTCGGCGTAATTTTGTGTGAAATACACTTTTTAAAGAGGTTTCCTCCTTATTTGTGTCAAAGGATGAAATTGCAAATGCAAATGTTCAACTTTTTTTTAATGATTTTGAAATGAGTTGCAAGGCTAGTGAAGAGGTAACATCAATGGTATGCTAACTTTGCGGTCTTGAGTTTGAATCTCAGCATGGAGAGAACATTTTGGCTGGATGGAAACACTTGTGCTGTTCATGTAGTTTTATACTATTGTGTAGCCATTACAAATAATGCGAGAAAAAATTATGTGATATTGTGGCACCACTAGTTGTAGAATTCAATAGACATCAAACATCAAGAAAGCAATGTTTTTACTACAACTAAAGCACTCAATAATGCAAGAATGTGTCTGTCATTTAATTCACATTTCAACATATACATACATGATGAATGTCCACTAGGAAAACTCTTACGGCCTTCAAGAACAACAGACTCGTCTCCTGTGCATTCCAGCTCAGGATTCACCTCACCATCTGGAAAGCATCTCCAAAAAAAGTCTGGTCGTGGGCGACCTGAAATTGGCATATTTCCATTAATTCATACACAGAATTTAAACCTGATGTTTTATGTACAGTGAAAGCAAATTGAAAGTAAAGAAATTATCACTAGATGGAGAATCATCACAGTCAGCTACTTACCTACAATTATTTTAATCAAATTTGTTAAAGCTCCATTTAGTGAGAGACCCAAAGAGAGTCCTAAAATAGCTTGACTAACGTCAACTTTGTCTTTATGTATCATAAACATCATAAAAATAATTACTGTTGGAGTGATAAATACAAGAGGCTGAAAAAGAAAAGTATGGTAAAACGTCATCACAAAAATGTTAAAACGAAAATTTTAAATCAAAGACTAGAGATATAGAAACACAAATATTCAACAACATAAATATTGAAAAAAGGGTTAACCAAATAACTCCGCAACTCTCAAATGCAGAGTATCCCAAGTTGAATTATGTTCATTATACAAGGAAAATTACAAAAAGGAAATTTCTTATATCTGTATTACTAATTTCCAAAGCATGCAGAAACTGAAAGAAAACTATGCAGTCTCTGGCGATGTGAGAGGTGTCTACCCTGAACCCCCCCCCCCGGGTTTAAAAACAATTAAACAATTGTGATTTTAACTGAAAAATGCAAATATTTGATTGTGTTGTTCCATTTATTCTTGTACTTTGTACAGACTGAATTCTCATACTCAATGCATCACTGTTTACAATACAGCTGACATCATACAACATCAAGTCTCAGAGTACCCTCCCTTTAAATACTTGCTAATCATGTGTTGCATTTTGGAACAGAAACCTTTTTGATATTTGTGGAGTGTATAAAACTATAGAACTGTATACCCATATTTATTGTATATACTATGTTATTGCTGTATTTGTGAAGACTAATTCCATTAAATTATTTAATTTATTGTTATACAAGATTACTTTCCTTTCTTGTTCTTGAACAGTGTTTGTGTTACTTAAAAAAAAAAAAAACCTTTTGTATGGTAGCATTTTTGCTGCTACAAGCCGCTAGCATATTATGCATTTGGAAGTAACAACACTCCCCCAAATTAAGGGCATCTGACTCTGACATTATGCTGATCTTACCAAAATTCTGAATATGTATGTGATGATAATATTCTGTTATTCAATAATTTACTTGAAAAACAACCCTGCTAACAACTTTATTTAAAAAACCAATATCAGATGTCATTTGAAGCCAAAATTGTTATTAAATGTTTTCTTTTGGGTTATTTAGTTGACTGACAGACGAAAAAAATGAAGCTACATATTATTTTCCCCCTGACAATAATTGCAATTATTTCTAATGTCCATGACTAAAATGATTGTTTATGGATTTTTTAATGAACTCATTCTTTCAGTTTTTATTTAATTAAAGATGATAGGTTTTTCGAAAATAATATCCTGTTTTTCAATAATTCACTTGAAAAACATAACAACCTGCTAACAACTTTGATTAAAAAAACAATATCAGATGCCACTTGAAGCCAAAATTGTAATTAAATGTTATCTTTTGGGTTAGTTAGTTGACTGAAAGAGAAAAAAATGAAAAATTTCATATAATTTTCCTCCTGACAATAATTGTAATTATTTTCGTATTTTCATGACCAAATGATAGACTAAAATGATTGTTTATGGATTCTTTAATGAACTAATTCTTTCAGTTTTTATTTAATTAAAGATGATAGGTTTTTCGAAACTTAACTCACCCATAACACGCTTGTTGGTACGTAACTGTCACTTCTGGGGTTCTTGTAAAGCCACAATTCATCCAAGTGAATCTTCCTGATAAACGGTGTTGCGCCTTCTAGTTCACTTTAGATACAGAAATACATTCAATATTATATGCATTTTGCACTTACATGTTCATTAAATCGCAATACTTACATAAATATTAAAGCCAAAATTGCACGAATAATTATTTCCACTATCAAATTGGCTTTACTTTCACGTGTTGAGGGCATTTTCTGTCATATTCAAAAATAATTCTATTGTGCGTTTCTTCCTGCTTATATTATCAAGGTTATCCTTCCGACGCTGAGCAACGATTGAGCACGACACACCTTCACCACCTGGTCTAGCAATTCAATTTCTCTTGACATTTCTGTTATGAACCGAAGAAACATTCGGAAGTTCGGCAGTCATCGGCGACAGGCTAACCAACATCCCCTCATGCGACCACGTGGCCAATGCCAAGTCGAGGCTGTTTTCCAACTCCCCGTGTTCCATCTGGGGCATGACGGCCACGAACTGCCGAGCGCAAAATATGAAATTACAAACATTGGAACGAGTAAGACGTTACGGCATCTAATCTACAAAAGTTGACGGTAAGAGAAGGGTTGGAAGATATGATTTTCGTGTTACGATTAAGTGTATTCTACTCTGTAATTCACAATGTTTCTTTCAGATATTTTACATCGTTATGCGCCAACGTCAATCATGTGTGTAATTGATAATGCGCCATTGTATTCTGAAATGCGATTAGTGTTCCTGATCTTTCCGGAACAATTTGGCAAGGACAATTGATCATTTTTCATTGGTGGGTTGTTACAGTTTAGATGAATTTGATGTTTTTAAATAATGAAAAGTTCGGTGTTCTACAAAAATCTTATTTAACAAGAATGCTTACTGGAGCCATAAAGAGTGTCGGAACGTGAGGTTGCAAAACTATATATCTAATATGGGTGCATCACAAAGTAAGTTTGTGATCCTTTTTTCCATTTCTCTGTATTTTACATAAAACAATTTGCCTTTTCAACGTGTTAGAAAAGGAGTAAATTTAGTTGTAGTGAACATAAGATACGATAGATACATAAAGATACGATGGATTTAACATCGTTTTAAAAATGTGTTGCAAATAAATTTGTGAATGTTTCATTAAGCATCGAGATTACACGCATCAAGTTTAGCTATTTCACAAATATTCTATTCTATTTCAGGCTGTGCTCGCAAAGATGCTGATCTAACGGGAAGAAAAGGTGCGAAAAGTCACGGGTAAGGCATGGTTGTAACAAAAGCTATTGCAAGTGAAATTACTAACGAAGGGCCTACGTGTCTTAATCATTACCTTAAATATTTACCAATAAGCAAATGGTCATTTCTAGCACGTCAGTAGCCACATTAGAAGTAATTTGTAGCAGAATACATTAATTTTTGATAAACCAGTTAGTCACCGAATCCCTAACATTTTGGAGTAGTGTGGCTACTAAGCGAACTGGAGTACGTGCAATTTACAATTTCGCGAAAGTACCCAAAAAATTTAGGAATGATTGTGAAGTTTTCTAAATTATCATTATTGTTAAGTACAGGAATTGACATGAAAATTTTAATATATTACATTTCAATTTATATTTAATCATTTTTCAATTTATATTTAATGGTGCGAAAATCAACCCTATTCTATATTATTTTGCTTTTACTTTCGTATATACGGAGTAATATAAGTAGTACAGGGAAAGTTATGTAATCTGCGGGAAATCGATTTCAAGATTTCAACGGAAATACACGTTTTGGAGTTCCCAGATACCGAAAAAGGTTTTTTTAACGTCCGTCCGTGTGGTGTCTGGAAACACTACTAGAGCTTAAACCATGCGTAGGATTTTTTCCAAATTGAAGAAACCCCTGTCCATCTGGTTCGAGTAGAAACTTTGAGATTTCGAAAAATATTTTTCAAATTTTGGGGGTAGTTTACATGAAGCCCTCCGGACATTTCCAAACTTTTCTCAAAAACAGCTTCAAATTATTTCCTTTACATTTTTGTAAGAATATAGTAACAAACAACGTGACATATGTCCGATTTTCACGGTTAACTAAACTTTCGAACATTTCAAAACTATGAACTTTTTTCGGTGTCTTCTCACAACTACAAAATTAAAGATTTAGATTTTTCTTTTTATTCTCCTTAGTGAGTTCTTTCATTAGTGTCATGTTCATTTTTCGAACATTTTAGTAGTTTTCGCGCAATATTCTGTGCAATATGTGCAATTTAAAAAACTTACGAAACAAGATTTTCTCAAAAACGCCTTTTGGTAGGGATAGTGCTAAATGTACTCTATAAGATGACATTAACGCCATATTGCTCTATCCTTTTTTTCTATCAAAAATCACAAAGTTTAATTTTTTGACTTGTCCCTCATGCTGTTAATATTTATATTAGCGGCAATTTGTTCACATTATTTTATTTATAAGTAAATAATGTTAGATAAAGTTTCTCGAAACCTTAACCGTTTTCTGTAAAAACTAGCTCAAAATTCCGTATTTTCAGAAACACTTAAATGCCATTTTCTCAAAAACTACTCAAAATTTTGTCTTCAAACATTCCGAACGGATAGTGGTAATTGTACTCTTCAATATGACGTAAAGTTCTCTTCGGTGTATTTTTTTAATTACACAAGTGTAATTTTTTTAAAACGCTGTTAATATGCACATTTCCTACAATATGTAAACACTATTGTATTCATGAATTAAGGTTATTAAAATGACTTCAAATGAAGTTTCTCAATAACTCAAAATTTTTACATGAAAAAGAGCTTTAAATTTCGAATTTACTTTAGCGCTTGAGCGTCATTTTTTTTAAATCAGCTCCAAAATTTTAAAAGGAAATTGCCATTTAGGACGAGGTTTTACTGTTACCGAGTACCGAAAAATTAATAAAATGTCAAAAAATATACTTTGGCGGTCGTTACATGGTTGCTGACAAAAGTATGTGGCAAGATCAAATATCTAGCAGAGACCAAAGAAAATAGAAAACATACGAGAAAGTCTGTGCCATTTTGTAGCACCACTAGTTCAGCCTTAAATATCTGCTTGACGCAACCCGAGAAGGGGGTAATTCCCTATCAAGCTGCAGCACGTTGACGGTTTTTGTGTCGATAGTGCTTTATAAATGGTATAAAATCATCGTATTTCCGTTATGTATTACTCAGAGGTGATTTAAAATCCACGAAAAATATTCCGCATGTAATCTTCTTTACTACGTTGTGAACGTGTCGAACTTTTTCCAAGGTTTCTATGCCAGTATCTCACGACACAATTTCTCTTTAAAAATCGGGGGAACCTTTTCACGGTTCGTGTTTTCACAGGAGTCGGGAGTCATCCTGCTAGGTTGTCTCGCGTGACGATGTTACCTTAGCAAGAAAATAAAACAAGTTTTTTTTTTAGTTTTGACGTAATGCGTGCAACAGAGATCGAAAGGAGATGCAAAGAAACTCAAAATAAGCATTTATAAAACTTGTGACGAGCTGCCTCTAACAGAAAAAATTAGAGCATTGTATTTTTCTTTGGTACTGTGATGTATCTTGCCTCCGCCGCTGTGGCATTGTCTCAGCTCTTTTGCACCTCGCCGCCACCCCTGACGCAAAACTCACGGCCATTACAAATGGTATGAGTCAAATGTTGTGAGTAAAAAGTACCTTAAAAGATGTTTGAAGTAGAAAACTTAATCATTAATGGGAATTCGTCATGAAAAATAATACGAGCTTTATTTGTAATATTTTTGACAGAAATATTTCATCCTCCAATTAATCCATCCATGATAACCATATTAGTGAATTTTTTCTGAATGAACATTTTGATCCTTACAAGTTACAAGTCAAACTTATAGAGGCAAATACAACAAAAACTGTAACCTCTGGATCTATACTTTATCGTATGTACACTTATATGGTTCGTGAGTTGTTATTTTCTGTAGATGGTGCGGTAAAGTTTTACTGTCCATGCTTTGACGTTAATTATAATTTCTTCAAGGCACAGATATGAAGTACATTTTATAATTATATTTTTTCACAATAATAAAATAATTGTAATAATAATTAAGAATTAATTTGTTAAATTCCTGACAAACGTCCCCAACCCTGTGGGCGTTTGCTAATATCCTCCTTGAAACCAAATTTAACCTTCATATAAAAGCATACGTAATTATTATTCCAAAAACCATTTTTACAAACGTAAAGGAAAAACAAAGGTAAAATGGAGACACATATTTGACAAAGCAGGGTCACTTCTCATCACTGCAACCTTAAGGTCAAACCCCACCTTCAAGGTTGTTCAAGCTGGCATGGAAGCTAATTTCACGAGTGTTTTAGGACCGTTTTGCATAAAATCGACACTTAATGGCCTGTATTTTAAGAACATGGTCTCCGTGAGTAGTAAAATTTTGCCAATGGTGTGTTTGTTGAGAATGCAATGGTGTGCGTTCCGATTTTGTTTTCGAATTTGACTCAAATTAATGTTTGATAGTTTCAAAAGCTTTTAAATCCCATTTCTTAAACAGGCTCCTCTCCTACGGGGCCAACCCGCTCCATCAGCCGCCAGCTAGGGACCGAAGAAGAAAGGAAGCTCAGAAATCGGTCGTACCTATGGGATTGTTCGGACACACGAAGGCCCCTTCTAACTCACAGGACACCGTACGCCACATTTATTTGAAAAAAAATAACCGCGAAATGTTTATTTTTCTAGGGCTTTTTCCAGCCGACAGCCGGCTGCCCTTTACGTTCCGATGGAGCGCATATTCGCCCATACACTAGACATCCACACAGTTTGCGAGCTCCTCCGATCTGTCCTGCAGGGCCCTCCTGGGCCCTCCGCGACAACACATACATGAGAAACAAGGGGCAAAGAACCGTGGCCAAGGCGGGACTCGAACACGCGACTCTTCGGACTCCATCGCTGAGTCGGTACACGCTCTTCGCCATCTCGGTCATTCAGATCGGTTAATTATGAATTTTTAAAAATTAATTAATTAATGTTTTCGTGTTGCAGTGGTGTTCTCGGTGGAGGAGCGAGGGAAGCCCAACTCGTTCAACTACCGCATGTACCTGCGCTCGGAGCAGGGCCCCGTGTCGCCCTTCCACGACGTGCCGCTCGTCGTCGACCTGGAGGGCAGCGAGGTCAACATGGTGGTGGAGCTGCCGCGTTGGAGCAACGCCAAGATGGAGGTTTGTGCGACGATGTTGTTGTCATTACCGAGGAAGTTTTGTTTATGCACATTCGAGTGGTTGGAGACTAATTCTGGCTGTCGGCAGATCTGATGAGGATCATAATTAAGCTATCAAAATTTCATCATCCGAATGAAAATAAAAATGTGTGTAAAGAATATGCCGATTAGAATGGCATTCTAAAAAGCCAGCGTAGGATAAAATTTGCGATTACTACCTTTTGGGTATTCGTGTCTCCGCCAGTTGAGTCTCAATTTCAAGTGCAAAATGCAAACTTAAAAACGCCGCGTAGTTGAAACGTCTAAAAATGGAGTACAAATTGCGAAAAATGAAGTGGGAATGAAAAGTGCAAGCTTATGACAACAGCGATAATATTTTTATTTTCCTTCTTCGTATTCAGCAAGTAAAAGAAACTTAGGCGTAACTGATACATTTTATTTTATTTAAAAAAAAGGGAAAATTGATTCTAAAATAATTTGACACAAGTTTGACCCATGGGGTCGAAAATAAATCGGAGTAACATTACTATTAATGTACTTAAACATTTTATTTATTAATTGAATTTACTTACACATTCCATTTACTGATACAGTACACAGTAAATGTAGCTACAATAAATTTAATGTTAGCCGGACAGGTTCTTCATGTTTATTGCCCATGTAATTCTGCATACGTTATCACACATATCAAGTCCCTTCTTCCTTCCTCAAGAAGGGAAGAGAAGCCGCGGGAGCTATTGCTGTGGCCTGTGAATCTGCCCACCGCGAGCGAGCGCAGGACGCTCGAGGATGGCACGCTCGAGCGATCATTAGCGAGCCAATGGAACGCCTAGCAGCGCTCTGATGTCAGCGTTGTCGGGTGCGCAGGTGAACACGCGCGAGCCGCTCAACCCCATCATGCAGGACAGCACCCGCGGCCGCATGCGCTACCTGGCCAACGTGTTCCCGTACCACGGCGTGCCCTGGAACTACGGCGCGCTGCCGCAGACGTGGGAGAACCCGCACCAGGTGGACAGCATCACGGGCTGCCTGGGCGACAACGACCCCATCGACGCCATCGAGATCGGCGACCGCGTCGCCTGCCGCGGCGACGTCATCAAGGTACTACCGCCGTAGATGGCTCAAGGCATTAGTAGATATCACTTCAGTGCCTCTGGCCGGGAGGTCATAGGGTTCCAGTTTCGACGGTGGCCGGATTTCCGACATTGAAGCTAGTTCGAGTTCAGCCGCTGTTTGGGGGAGAATTCTGGCAGCCGGCTGCTCTGATCGGTAGTATTCCGCAGTTTCTGCGATCAACACCTGACGAATGCCGGAGCAGTACCCTACCAAATGGGCCACGAACCGCGCGCTATCTTTCCTTCCTCTTCCTTCTCCTAGCCTCACCCCTTTGTTACACACATTTACATTCACATGCACGACACTACCACACATATTTGGAGACCAGACGGGAGCTTAGAGCTTGTTTCGTCTCGGACGGTGAATCGCGCTGGTGGAAGATACCTGGTTGGGGAAAACTTCGCAAGCCGATGTATTGGTCGGCGGCGGATCTCATCATCCACATATACTACATTTATGAGACTATTGACCTTTGACAGTTGGCGCGCCCGAAATTATTAATCAATCAAATCTTCCTTACAGATCCACACCCCAACAGGCGACTGGTGCCGGTGCGGTGCCCTCCCGCGCTTATGGGATTCCCGTCGAATCGATGTAGCTCGCAGGCCCCTAGTGTGTCCTCTGCCCAGTGAAGGTTGTGGGCCCATGGTTTCTAGAGACGAATAAATGGGCGGGTATCAAAAGCGCGTTTAGGGGTCAGAGAAGACGCGATGCGAGCTTTCCTTCCTCATCCTTACCTCTCTCCTATCCCTTTACACACACTTACATTCACTATATTACCACGCCTTTAAGGAGACCATTGTCGGGAGCTTAGGGCTTGTCTCGCTGGTGGGAGATGCATGGCTGGGGAAAATCCCCGCAAGCCGGTGTGTAGGTTGGGGCCGGATCCTATTTTCCAGTAGGGAAGGAACACAGCCACCGTCCGGGATATAATATGTACGACACACACGAAATCAATTACGATAACAGTGACGTGGAAGGAATCACCAGTCAGTAAGTTGATGAGTACTGAGGAAAATTGTTTAGAAATGTATGGGCTATATTCTATTAATGTTCTCCTCAACGGATAGATAGTGCCCATCTTACCTCCCTTCGCGCTAGAGAATGTCTGGATTTCATCTTTAGGGAACGGATTTTCATGAAACTACATATTTTTAAAGGAAGATATCTGCATTCAATTTTGTTTTTAGAGTTGACAGGACATTTTGAATGAATTGGAACCATTTTGATTTTGTATATTTCGGTATGATCGCATTTTTTACATATTTCGATACATTTGAACATATATGCCAAAACGGAATGTTTTATATAGAATTTTGTTAACATAATGTTACTACAATATTTGTCTCTGAATGTAATACTGCGCTGGAATAAAATATTAACGGACGTTTCATGTTTCGTAGACTAATATTTTACAGTTAATTGTCTTATCGCATCGTTGGATTTTGGGGGAGTTGCATGGTCTCTTTACCGCGATCCATCACCTTCACGATACGACTGTTCACGTCAGCACCGGCTCCTCGTAAATAACTTCAAATATACTAGGGGCGAATTTTATATTTCAGATAAAACTTGTGAAGTGAAGACTAGTGTGCAATTACTTCCGTAGAGGTAGAACTTTCTTTCAGCCACCCCGAATTTATTTTGTTACCTAATCAGCCACGTTTTGTGTTCAAAAATTTGAAAATGTTTGTATGGAGTCATTTTATACAACATAATGAATATTTATTTTATATGAATATTTATTCTATTTTTTGTTACATATTTTGGAATATATATAGGAGTCTCAGCTAAATGTTGATCCCCAATTAAAAAGTTACATGCACCTGCCACCGCGATAATGACACTGAACCACACGATGCAAGCTAGCGTGGTTCTAGTGAGCCGATTCGCGAGCAAAAAAAAAAAAATGATTTTTTGATTTCAATAAATTCCACTTGGGACGGGCTCGCAGGTGAAGGTGCTGGGCGCGCTGGCGCTGATCGACCAGGGCGAGTCGGACTGGAAGATCATCACCATCGACACGAGCGACCCGCTGGCGCCGCTGCTGCAGGACATCGCGGACGTGGACCGGCTGCGGCCGGGCCTGCTGTCCGTCACCGTGGACTGGTTCCGCATGTACAAGATCCCCGACGGCAAGCCCGAGAACAACTTCGCGTTCGAGGGCAAGGCCAAGGGCCGCATGCTGGCCATGCGCATCGTGCAGGACATGCACCGCAACTGGGCCGAGACCATCAAGAAGCGCTCGCGCTCCGGCGGGCTCGTGCTCACCAACACCACGGTAAGGCGCTCACTGCTCTTGGAGGGGTTTAGAGACGCGTTGCGCCTATGTTGTAACAGTTTTTTTTAAAAAAAAAAGGGTAGGGTTGATTTGTGATGGAATTACATGGGTGAGCTACTGCGCATCGTATCCGACTTCAGACAGTGGCTTCAGGCACTTCAGGCACTTCAGTTTGTGGAATTTTTAATGCACTCGCATACCAAAATTACCACCATGTTGAAATTCATTGAAACAGATGTATGGAAATTTTTTTAAAAGCTTTTGCGTATTTTATTTCAATTTCACGTTAATCGAGTTATTTATTTTTTCTTGAAAATTGTCGCTTTACGTCACTTTCAAAATGTTTCTCAATACTTCTCGCTCTCCTTGCAACATGGCGGCCTGGCTTTTCAAACGAAGAGTTAAGTGCTGTGGTCACGTAGTTCATGTCGTAAACTGCTGTTGCGCAGAACGAGCAGATATCGGCGCGCCGGACTAGGTCACCCCTGTCTTTCCATCATGAATTGTTTCGATACCACTGAGGTATCGATCCTTGTTTTATGTATCGAAGAAAATGTATCGTTTCACTTGATATCGTTCAAAAAGTATCAAAATCCTGACTTGACTGCGACTGACGTGACTTTACCCAGCGGCCCCTAGCTGGGTGCTGGGTATATAATAAGGGAGAATTATAATAGTAATTAACGGGGGATTACCCCAAGGTGCGCACAATGCTCTTAAGAGCTAGGGGACGTGTTGCGTGTATAGATGCAACAAATAAAAAAATCCTGCAGTATCGAAACTTCTGGATGCGGGGACAAGGGCGACATTTCGACGTTTACAATTTCAGTGATTGAAGAGAGGTAAAAAGGAAAGGCTTACGCTGGTTCATATATTTTTTAATTATTAGGAGTGTACATAAATCTGAACCTATTACAACAGTGCATTCGATAATAATATAATTTTAATTCCTACGGAAAAAATCATTTTCAGGTGGTAGTAGTAGTGTCTATAATTACTTTCCAGAGAGGCGGTTTCTGTTTTGGTGATGGTTGCACCTGCTTTTGAAAACAACCTTTCACTTAACTGTAGTGTCGACGACGGTTACAAAGTATATGACAACACGACAGTTAACCGTCACATCTTTTTCGCAGAAATCAAATCGCGCCTCTTGTCATCATGTTGCCGTAAAGATTAGTTCTGACTGCAGCATTCTCACCATTATGGAAAGACCACCATGGTTCTCACACCTTCCTTTTCGATACCTTGTTAATCGATACCAGGGAAATGTATTTGATACTGAGTAAGTATCAAAACAAAAGATTAGATGCCAAAAGTAATTAGTATCGATTAAACAGTGTCGACACTTTCCTTGTATTAGCTTGTATCGAAACAATCTTCGTAACAACAATGTGAAGACTGAGGGATAGGAGTGCGCAAAGGTAACTACACTTCTGGATTACTTTTTTCATTAAACTTTTTTATTGGCAAATGACATATTTTTCTAGTATAGAAGTAATACCCACAAGGATAATGAAATTATAACTTTAAAGATAGAATGAATAAATAAAATAAAATAATTGATTTTATTTTCACGGTTGGCAAGAGCATCTTTTCCAAATGTCATATCCATGTCTTATCAATAACAGATACCCCAAATTGTCAGGTTTAAAATACGCAAAATCTGTAATTGACATATTTACTGAAAACAAATTCTTAAGGCTAAGGGACCCTTTTCGAATTTATCAGGGAGGCCACGGCGCCATGTGCGCACGACTGTTCTGGGGGACAAAGTAGTTATTAACGTCATTCTGCACCATCGAACTTCAGTTTTGCACCACTTTAGTGCATCTGCACATGCGCAGAAGATCCATATTGCTGGCATGCACAATCGTTCCATTACGTTCTCCGATTATTTACATCGTAATTATTTGTTTCAAGGAAAACAACGCCGAGAAGCGATCGAAAAGTGTACCTAGATGTTCACTTGTTTTTACTCTTTGGAAGTGTTGGTCTCCTGCTACGAAAGAATTAATTGAAGCATGTATACTTTGGAATATTGATATGCATGATATAGAAAAATGCAATTCAGCTCTAAATTTTAGAACCAATTCGACCTGGAATTATAATGTCTGTAAAATTTGAAACGTTGAATTGCTTCTTATTTTAAACGGCTTCCCCGTTTTCAAAAACCACACGAATTTCAATATTCTTTCTTACTAGTTTCCGTTCTCGTACAGAGTGAAAGCCAACACTTCCTTCAATGGCATACATAATATTTTGCAGAGAACTGTAACTACGCTCTCTAGAATCACAGAATATAACCGTCGACCAAATCGTAAGCGGACTGTGCACAGTTATGAATCTTCGCTAACCGAACCGGGCCCGGTTAACGCTTATGTTTGTTAGAGAGGTCGTGATTGGTGTTCCCGCCGTCACGTGACTATGGCCGGTTCCATTTTTGTATAAGCGTCGATGTGCAAAAATCTCTACTTAATAATGGAAAACACAATATACAAAATAGAAAAACTGAAATCGGAAAGCGCCAAATTTGTGTAACTTAATACTGTTGCTACTAGCTATCAGCACTTTATAAGCGTCCGGCAGATGATGAATATTCGTTACATTATATAAGAAACCCCTGAAGAATGCATGAACATCGGTGCTATCTTTTGTAACAATATGGGCCTGCTTGCGTCTCGCGACCCCTGCAGCAGCCACGCACGTTCTAAGTATCGTTGGCAGCAGTTGGTATTTTAATTTAAGAAGGTGATGCAGGAGAGCGCGCCACCGTAATAGTTTCTAGATACAGAGAGTAGCGCATTCAATTGTTCCACCAATCCCGCCATTTTATATCCAGTTTTCAAGAGAATTGGAACTGTGTGGTATTCTGTTAGTTGAGAACCATGAATGTATCCCAAACCATCATTAACATTGATGAAAGTCTTCTTAATGCCACCAAATGTTACAATTTACCTTCAGCTCCTGAATACTACCTGGCGGACCTAAGCGGTGAGAGGATATTGAATGGCGGCGGTTGCGCTACTCTCTGTATCTAGGGAACCTAATAGTTTCCACCACGTTATAAGCGAGTTGAAAGGCCCCGGTCGGCGCGTTGCAGGTGCGCGGGTCGCCGTACCGCATCAGCTTCCGCGACGCGGAGGACATCATCTCGCGCCACGCCGTGCTGGCGGCGCCGCGCCCCATCCCCGCCTACGTCGACAACTGGTTCTTCCTCGGCGACAGGTGCGTCTCCGCCCCGCGCGCGACGCGCCTGCCCCCGCACAACCAGCCGTGGATGTGTCGCGTGGTACGGAGGACTCGTTTGAATCGCGAGCCGGCCGATTGATTGATTAGTGATTCCAGGCGCGTCAACTGCTAAGGCCATTAGGTCCGTAAGTGTAGTGCATGCGTTTCCCTCTGAAGTTGACAGTGATCTTTCTCCGCTGGAAGGCGAGATCCGGTGCCGACACACACGCCGACTTGCGAGGTTTTCCTCAACCAGGTATCTTCCTCCAGCGGGGCACCGCCCAAGCTCCAACCTCTCGATTGGTCTACCAACATAGGTGGTAGTTTAGTGCGTGAGGTAAGGGCTGAGGTTAGGGCGAGGGAGAGGAAGGAAAGATCGCACGCGGTCCGTGGCCCGTTTGTTAGTGTACCGCTCCAGTATTCACCTGATGTTATCCGGAAACCACGATAATAAACAAAGCAGCCTACTGCTAGAATTATTCTCCAGACAGCGGATGTTGGCGATTTAGCTAAGTAACTAGTGTCGAGAATGTTTCCACTGTCGGGCTCGACCGACTTTCCGGTCAGAGGCACTGCAGTGACATCAATTGATGCAATGCATTAATTTATTTCTTCTGATATAATTCACAAATTCTTCCTCCAAATTTTTTTTCTTATATTTTTCATTACATGTTTCATACAAGAAAAGGTCGTTTTCACATATTTTCTTTTCTCATTAATTTTCGTTGAAAGTATATTGTAGTAAAATTTAAGAAGCGATTGCATATTACACTTTTTACCGCTCAATAGCTTGCCATTTCTATTACTGTTTACGAGTGGAACTCCACATCTGAATTTAGGAAAACCAATGAAATAGAAATGTGAATGAAAAACTCGTTCGCCGACCGATCCGAGCGTCAAAAGTCATTCATTTCCGTAAAGAGAAACGAGAAAATGTTTACTAATTTTGTGTGGGTGTTTGGTCACCCTCTTTTCTCTTTACTTTTTCTTATTTCTTGTCGCACATTTATCGCTGCACATCTTTCGGTGTAGTCAGCTCGGTCCTTGCATTGTAGCGCGCGGCGCCGTCTGTTGCAGAGAACTGGGCAAGCAGCAGTCGGTGTCTCAGAGGCACAAGTAGCTGGGTCTTCGCCGCCGTCGCCGTCCACGCCTCCAACGCACCCCACGCGGCGCGCCTTCGTGCGCTTTACTTTTGTACCATGGGTTGTTTGCCTATTTATTTTTACAAGGAAAACAATGAGCACTGCGTGTAACGTTGTGAACTTCTTTGCCGAATAAGGTGATCGCCGCAGTATTTACTCGTGAGGAAATTCAACGAAAAATTTATTCGGATTTGAAGGGGAATGACATTTCTGGACGTTTAGGCGTATTAGTACGTCTACAGATCGAATTAACGTATAGTCGTCGCACCTGGGAACTTGTTGGAAACCCAGCAGAGCACCAAAGTTTAGCAGTGAGGCTTACTTGGTAATTGGAGAAAGTAAGGTTGTAATTGCTTCCACTATCAGCCAGAATCGCCTGCCGGTTTAGCTCATAAGTCAACGTGCTCGGTTTTCATGACGCAACGCAAGGTCAGGCAAGATAATGGTGTGCACTTTCCTTGCAATGTTCCAGTATATGTTGCTGTTTGTCCATGAGAAAACTCACTTCTCTGGATGAGAAGACCAAAATACGGCGTGGGGATATTTTCATGCCAACCACACGTACCATGTACCCCCTTTAAGCCACGGCTGCGAGCCCGGGAAGGGGCGACGCGCCATGTACAATCAGAATTAGATGCGGGACTAACAAGATCTACAAATAACTCAACTTGTTTTAAATTACTCAGCCCCACGTAGACTCATGGGTTTTGTTTTGGTAGTAATAGTAGTAATATTTTCATTGAATGAAATTAATATATCTACCACGTGTTTGATGTTAGGCTTATCGTGACAGTCACTTTCACTTCTTGATCTTCTTTCTTCTTCTGCTTGATCTTCTTCTTCTTGATCTTCTTCTTCTGGATCTTCTTCTTCTTGATCTTTCTTCTTCTTGATCTTCTTCTTCTCATCTTCTTCTCTCGATCTTTCTCTTCTCGATCTTCTTCTTCTCGATCTTCTCTTCTTGATCTTCTTCCTCTTATCTTCTTCTTTTCGATCTTTTCTTTTTGATCTTCTTCTTTTTGATCTTCTTCTTCTTGATCTCTTTTTCTTCTCTCCTAATCAAATAAAAACTGGAGATGTCTGTCGTGATGTTCGAAAATAACAACATTTTACATCATATGTCTATTTGTAGATAAAAAAATTCATATTTTTTGCAATTTTTTGTGTCTCTCGGTCAATCTTGGGGAACGGCTGATTCAGTTTTGGATGCGGTTTTCAATATAATGGTTTTGTCGTGCATAACTTAGGCTACTTTTTTTAAAAGATTTTCTATACATAAAGATTTGTTTTTATTCATACAAATCTAGGTTTTATTCCGTCTTAAATGAAATATTGTACATGTGACCTTCAAGACGAGAACGAATGTTACATGTTCTGTATGAAGATTTCGTTAAAACTAGTTAACTGATACTCGTTCCCTTGCTGCTTACGGAAAAAGTTTGTTTTTCGCAAAATCTGAAAATAGTTGAGGAAAATTCAAGAATGTCAATTTAACGCTCCGAAGAGCATACAGTTTTGTATTAAATGCACTTTGATTAAATGCAAAAACGCAATGAGTTTTCAGAGCAATTGAATTGTAAAAATTTACTGGAAGTTACTGTGAAGTAGGCAATCTGTATAAAAAGCTGACTTATGCGTACAACGATAGCGGTGCAAAACACGTATTCGTAAACAAATCATGACAGGTGAACAGTAGTTTATTCATTTCAACATCAATTGAAACTTTATTTCTCACAAAATTTTTGCTTTGTGCAGTTACTTTGGCATGCCATTGAACTGAAGCATTAATTTATTTGATCTAACTTAGATTCTTTTAAATGTCTGTTTTATCTTCCTTTGCAAGACTATAAATTTAATTGTTCGACGTTTTCCGAGCGCTTAACAGTCATGAAAAAAGGGGGGTATTGAGGCTGCGATGATTTGAAGGGTGCGGTTTTCCCACGCAAGCTCATTCAAAGAGCTTTATGACCTAACCTCATCTCCCCCGTAAGCTCGGCATTCTGCTATGCTTTTAATAATAATAAATATAATAATAAAAGTTCTCGGGATTTGTTCTTCATAGTTAACAGTGGTGTCACGACTTCCGTCTCTACATTCAGGCTTCAATGGGATCGGAGATCTAGAATTGGAATTAATAATACAGATGGAGATTTCCAGTTCAGCTGTAGAAAAAGAATGTTGGACATAGTAATAGTATTAATTACGAGTATTTGGAGTATCGAGAGTCCGACAGGTGATCAGGGCTTAGCGCGTTGACTTCGCACGGAAAGCCGGGTCGATTCCCTATACCGGCTATCTTACGTTTTTTTTTTCGTGGTTCCCTCGGTCATCGGGCAGATCTGATGGTTCTACTAAAAGGCACACCGCAAAATCTGGCGTTTGCCAGCATTCGTGAACTACATGAAATCACGAAGTGTCCTCCGGTTGGGAATTGACGTCAGCTGACAGCCGTGCTAAAAAGCACAGTCGAAATAATTGATAGGAGTAAGCCGATCCGAAAAAGCCTACCCTAAGCTAACTGAAATACGAGTTTAGAATGATCTATATGGGGATCCGGGTAATTGTAAGTCATGATAACTCACAGCGACCACAGACACAGAGCTTTCGTATAACAATAATTTATTAACAAGAAAACAAAACAAATATATACACTAATAATCTACTTAACCTAGCTCTGATGGACCTTACTATCCCTGATCGCGGGAGCGATCCAAAACCCGATTGAAGATTGTTTTAGATTGTGGTTATTCGCCACTCACTTTTGAAGCGCGCCAAGCCTAGCTTCCGTGAACCGGATGGTCTCACGCTGGGACACAAAGTCCTTCTGCGCGCAACCAACGGCTGTTTGCCTCGATACCAGGAGCATCTTATCCGATTGAGAATCGCTGAATCGTGGCACTCAAACCACTCTTCACCTCGAGGCACCACACAGCATCGCTCCCCCGTACCGCGTCACCCAAGACAAAGTACCGCAAGGCTTCTCAGCTAATGACTCCAGCCTCGCAAGCCTGGCTCGCATATGCACCGTCTTGGCTCCAAGTTTTGTGCACACGCACGAGTTCTCCCACCGTCTCCAGAAACCTGCCTATGGCTCCTACACTCTTTATATAGGCGAGCCCACTGACCTCACGATCACGCCACCCCCTCGCTTTTATAAACAGTGAAAAGCGTTTATAAGCCGAAACCAAACCTTGTGTTCTCCCGTCTCCGCGTTGCTTCCCTTTACGGAAAAACCCTACTCTCCTGTTTGGCGAGACTAATCCGCAACAAAGGCGTCCCCATATAATGCCATGAGGCACGCTGGCTAATACGTTACAATATTACGAAAAGCATCATTTCGACATAATGGAAGTTAATACGTAAATTGGTCTCAAAAACAAATTTTATGATCCCAATGTATTTATAAACTACCAAGACACGTAATAAAGCAGCAAGAACACTATACCGCAACAGAGTGTTGGATTTTCTTAAACTTTGCTATCTCTCTCTTGTGG